ATACCATAGCTACCAAAACTGTAATTACCAACTTTTGATACGTTTACTTCGACGGTTTCATAGTAATAATTCGATTTTCCACATTCTCGAGAATACATTTGACTATTCACAGTCAATACGGATGAATATATCGATTCTGTCACTGTTGAATCGTCTATGAAATGTTCTTTTACTAATTATTTACTATATTTACAGGTACTTACTAATGCGCTTGAATGTGACATTGTTTGCACCAGATGCAATAATCGAAAAAGAACCTATGATCTTTGAGAAAGGTATTGTTGCAACCAATAAATACGTTACATTGGGTTGAAGATAATTAAATAGTTCAAACCGATCACGATCGCATCTTTCATCATCTTTTAAAAGTAAACTGTCAGATGGATTGAATGGATTAAAATAATCTTCGTAGAGATATCTATATGGAATGATATTGCCGGTGCTTGAAAAAGTATAAAAGCCAACTGTATCAACGATCACTTGTACAACTTCATAGTAATAGTATATTGATTTACACTGATCATTTCCATATGTTTGACTGTTAATAGTTAATTCTGATGAATACACAGTTTGATAAATTAATTCAGTCTCTTCTATTTTATGGGAAAATAAAATAAAGAAAATTAACGGATGGATGGGAATGAAATATTCAACTGATAGACATTTTATATACTCACTTATACGATTGAAAATGACTTTATTTGGTCCCGATACTACAATTGAGAAGCGTCCTGTCTCATTCACATGATACGTCGTGACAACCAAAATATATGTAATATTAGCATAAAGAGGAAGGATTAACTTGAATTGATTTTTTTTACAGATGTGATCATCTTTTGCGAGTAAATTTATAGTTGGATTAGATGGAATAAAAGTGCCGTTGTAGATGTAGATATATAAATTGTCGTAATTTCTACTGCTAAAAATATATTTGCCTGTCTCATTCACCATCAATTGTAGTGCTTCGTAATAGTAAAATCCATAGCATCCAGTACGTGAATACACTTGATTACTTGAATTCAAAGCTGATGAATACATTGATTGGATGATTGATGGCATCTCTATTTTATACAAGAAAATAATCATTAAGTTCGAGAAGCAATCGAGAAAATTTGTAGAAACAAAAAAACACAAGTTTGTATTTTATAATACTTACTGATATATTCGAAAAGGATGTTGCTGGGACCAGACGCAATGACTGAGAAGTTTCCTGTAAAATTTTCATACTTCGATGTAACAACCAATACATATGTATCATTGACATGAAGATTTATGACTAATTTAAATTGATAATGTTCATGAAAATAATTATGTTCGGCGAGAAGATTCACATCTGAATCAGAGGGAATAAAAGTACCATTGTATATAGATCCATATAAAGGAGTGTTGCTCTTGCCGGTAAGAATATAGTTGCCACTTTCAATCAATTTGACTTGAAGTGCTTCATAATAGAGTAATCCATCACATCCAGTACGTGAATATACTTGACTCGTTGAATTTAGCGTTGATGAATAGATCGATTGAATCATTGACGGAGTATCTATTTAATATAAAACTTTATTTCTTATTAGTCATTTTCAATATTTTCTCGTTTTTTTCGTTTTAATTTCACTATAGCATATGTATATATTTACGCGAGTTTATAAATGTTTCGAGTGTTTGTATAGATACTTACCAATATGATTGAGAATGACATGATTCGGACCATATACACCAATAGAAAAGTTGCCTGTAACTTGTGATTTTAATGTTGTAACAATCAATACGTATGTAGTGTTGATATCAAGATTTTTCTCTAATCTGAATTGATCATTAAAACAACCATCATCATCTTCTGCGAATAAATGTTCAACTGGATCATATGGAATAAAAGTATCATTGTACAAAAACCCATATAAATTGATCCTACTTATGCTATTGATGATGTATTTGCCGGATTCAAACACTTGTATTTGTATTGCTTCATAATAGTTTAATCCAAAAGACTTCATGTGTATATATGTTTTACTACTTGAAGTCAACGCTAACGATATGATTGATTGTATGACTGACGAAGTTTCTATTCAATAAAACAACAATTGAAATTCATATGTCAATCAAAGAAAAGTTAGATATAAGAAACACTATATATAAAACGTAAATATCGTAGAGATACTCACTGAAACGATCAAAAACGACATTGTTTGGACCAGATACAATGATCGAGAAGTTGTCTGTGATAAGTGGATCTCTCGTTGTGATGATCAATATATATTTAGTATTGGCATGAAGAACTATGTTTAACTTGAACTTATGCAAATTGCAGTCTTCATGCAGACCATTTTCTTGAAGGGGATGTACAGACAGGTTGAAAGGAGTAAAACTATCTTTGTAAATAAAACCGTATGTGTTATTAGTGCTCATATCACTAATGATATACGTGCCAGTTTTAACTACTTTCACTTGTATGGCTTCATAGTAGAATAATTCGGAACATCGAAGACGTACATACGTTTGACTATTTGTTGTTAGCGTTGATGAATAAATTGATTGGACAACTGACGAAGTATCTATGAAAATTTAATGATTAAATAATAAATGAATTAGTTAATGTTTAATTTTTTCCAAAGTAGTAACTTTAGTGTTTTTAAAAATTATTCTATCAATAGATAGTAACAATACTCACTCATACAAATAAAACTAACGTTATCTGGACCAGTTACAACAATTGAAAAGTTTGCTTTTACATTTGAACCATTAATTGAAACAACTAATATGTATACAATGTTAATTTGAAGATCAACATCGAATTTAAAGTGTGTATTATTCAAATAATCATTGTCCTGTAAGTGTAAATTTTGCTTTAGATTGCGTACATCGAAATTATTCTTGTAAATATGACCATATATATGAGATATGCTATTGCTGTTAATGCTGTAGCGACCAGTTGTATTCACATTGATTTGTATAGCGTCATAGTAGTATGTCGATTGATAACAGGCATTGCTTACAAATGTAGAGCTATTGGTAGTTAATACTGATGAGTATACCGATTGGATAATCGAACAACCATCTATTCAATAAAAATAGTTTAATTAGCATTATTAGAATATTTTTCCTCTTTCTAATTGGCCTGATATTAGAATTATGAATTTAAAATTACTACAGAGAGCCGAGAGATTTGAAAAATATCGGGCTAACCAAATTGTCTCTAAACAACATTAAATACCGCAAAGTAACTGAAAGGCTGAATATTTTTCTTCTTCTTCTAGATAAGTTTGGAAGTATTACTTGCTTACCGCTAGGATCTTTCATCAGAAAAAATTTTTGGATTTCATTTCTGTGTCTATCACTGGCAAAGATATTGCCATAGCTATCAAAAGCAGCGGGGCCTGGGTAGAGAATTCGATTATATGTTGAATCAGTGGTACTTGAGCATCCCATTAAACAATAAAATTTATCATTATTAGATCCAATAATACGATTGGTTGACAATTCTATAATAAATAAATTATAATCAGCATCCAAAAAGACAGCTATCGGGCAGTGGAGTATAATAGTTGGTTTCTCAGTATTTCCTACAATTGTTATTCCATCAAGATGTTCATATTTAAAAAATTGAACTCTGTCATTCTTGCAGTCTGCGACGTATAAATTTAGATTGATGTCGACAAAAATTCCGTAAGGTTGATTAAGCATGTTAGCCGCTGCCCCCCTGGATCTATTTCCAGCAACGGTAGTCAAGATATCTTTTTGGATATTAAGTGATGTCTTTATGACTCGATTTTCAATTCGTAAAGAGCAGTAAAGATAACTGGCAATATCAACAAACAATCCGTAACAAGACTCATTCGAACTCATAATAACAATGCCATTTGTTGCGTTCAAAGTCAATTTCTCGACGTTCTTTATACCATCGCCACTAACGTAAATGGTTCCATCAATTGTTACGAAAATGCTCAGAGGCTTGAAGTAAGCATCCAAGTAAATCCTCTCTTCAGTAGTTTGATTTGCATGCCATATGTAGATTCGACTCAAACCATAAATAGCCACATAAACAGTGTTATGCTTGTCAACAAAGAGATTGTTCCCATAAGTGCCACTTCCTATACCCTTTGCGAGTATCAGGACCTTTGAATCCCACCAAGCGCATGCAGGCAATTTTGGTTGGTTATAGGATACTTCTAAAACATTATAAATATATCTAACACTATCTAGATAACTTCTTAAAATACAAAAATCGTATAATTACTTGTACTTTTTACCATTTGATAAGAAATTATCGATATATAACACCAAATTTGTATGATGTTCCTGATCATCTTTATAATAAAATATATTATTTTTTACAAGTCATGAGCAGAAAAGAGAATTCTTAATAGCCCATTCACTGTTAAATGAAATAAAATCAAAATGACAGAGTCTTTTTTAATTTTCCTGTCATCTCGCTATCTCGATGGAAATAAATATTAGCAGACAAGCAATAAAGATAATATTTATAGAAAAAGTCGCTATCTTTGCTGCGGTAAAAAAAAGTACGTTTGAAGTGTTAGAATGAGAAAGATAATATTCTTTTATTAAAATAACTGCGGATTAACTCAATGACGTTTGATAATAAAATGTCTAGACGTAAGAACAAGAGGAAACGCCAGGTTTTATACTTCCCGGACGAGGGTGAGTGCCGGTATGGATGCGAATGTGAATGTGAGTGGGTGTGGAACGAAGTCGAGTATAACACTCACACCGATACCCACACCCACACCCTTTTTCCTCTCTTCTTAGAGATTTATTCCAAATATGTGAAAAGTTAATATGGACTAGAATACCATTGAGAAAAAGAAAGTTTATTGATACATCATCGATTTACACTTGGCACAGAACAATATTCTATTACGTATTCATGTTTTTTTTGTTATATAAAGAACTATTGACACCTGTCATAAACAAAAATGCTGTAGAAAAATATGGAAATCATAGAAAATATCCGAAAAAAGTTTTTCAATTAATTTTGTTTTTTCATGTTATACTTTTCGAATGCAAATACCATATGGACGCACATCTGCTTCACTTGGACTCACCCAATAATCTCCAATTCTCGGTCCAGTAGCTTGAAGTTTTCTTAAAGTCGTAGGATTTACTCGATTTTGAAAAATAACCAGATACTGCTCATTGTTATAAGTAAATTTTTTCGCATACTTTTCTGCCAGACATACATCTGGAGTCGAATAGACTCCCTGAGTAAACGGAAATTCTTGTCCTTGTGTTAATACATATCCATCCTCTGCAATCATTTTCTTTTCATATTTACCAGTTCCATGATATGATACAGGCCATTCACCCATACCATTATTACAACCTATCCATAGCAAATTTTCATACTTATCGGATACGTTGAGAGCAAATCGTTTGAAACCACATGGACGAACATATCGTTCACCACCTCGCGTAAATGTTAGGTGACCATCATTTATATAGGTAAAGTCAAAATCATGTAATGGATCCAAGCTTCTAGGATCTAGAACAACTGGCTTC